AGTTCAGAGTCTCGCTTTAGAACTCTGTAATCGTTGCTATGGTTACATCCAGTTTTCCATCTTGCTTTAGAACTCTGTAATCGTTGCTATGGTTACATCAAGTTTTCCATCTTGAGCAGTGATTTACAACAGTGGTTCAACTTTGAACCAGAACTACTTTGGTGGTTTTACTGTCTTACGATCTTATCAGATCAGCAATTATCAGCAATTTAGTGTTATCCATGGTGTCACTTTGGACAAAACTATACGGCGCTGAAATATCCTGATTAAATGAATACTTATTTCAGAACAAAACAGACAGGTATGATCACCCAAACCAAACCAGTTCATGGGTGTATCACAGTTTGTATACCTACTGTGACACATAGGGAGAAAATCCTACATGTTGTGTGGTAGGCTGCTTACTGTCAATGTACATTTGTGCCAAAGTTGTGTTTGTAAATCAAGTGTTTTCAATCATTCACACAATTTTGTTCACCCATCTCCCCACACACCCTTACAAACTGAAATTTGTATACCAGACAAATGGCCTAAATTACATAAAACTAAATAAAGCAAATATCTCATCAAAGGAAAATAAGGATGAGAGACAGCCCTACCAATGCTTCTCACTAATTATGTTCATGTTGTCTTGAAGGGCAATAATTAATAATAATTTATTCATAACAGAGTGCTTAATTTATTATTAAACAATATATATAGAGAAAAGCCTTCAAAACAGCAATAAAATCATGACAAAATGATAAACTTGATAAGCTCAAGTTTACCTGAGTTCAGTAGTGAAGAAATGATTAAACTCATGCATCCAGTCCTGTATTTTTTTGCCATTGCTTGCTTCACGCTGGTTTTTGGAATTTAGTTTTTCTGTTCTGGAAAAACTTGTCTTGCTATGCTTGTCTATTTTTCATGCTTTGCTTCTGAACATTCTTGGCCTTTATCTTCAGTCTGACCTACACCCTCAGAACTAAATAAAATATTGAGTTTACAGGAATATTTTTAACACTTTGGGAAATAGCATATGTGTATTCACTTTCTTGCCGAAGGTTAGACGATAAGGTCAATACCACTCTCGTGTCTCTATTATAAATATAAAGCTAGAGCCAGGAGGCGATTAGCTTAGCTTAGCTTAGCTTTAACTCCCCATGAAAATACTTGTTTCTTTTTGTGAATGTATAAACACAGATAAAAAATTTTAATTTGTCAACTTTAGACTGATTAAACTTTTGTGCTGATATAGGCTACATATTTTTGTCTTTGAACAGAACCAGGTTAGCCGTTTCCTCCTGCTAAGCTAATCGCCTCCTGGCTCTAATGAGAAGTATCGTTCTTCTCATCTAACTCTCTGCAAAAAAAAATTTATTTCCCAAGATGTCAAACTGTTCCTTTAACATATAGACTTTCGTGTCCCAAGCTCTGCAGCTGTTTCTAAAGAAAGTGAGATTCTGCTGGATGCCTCTATACAAAATATGGCTTCTTGTAGCATGCTTTTGGTACTTGTGATCGTTCACTTTTGAAGAAGTCAGACTTGGTTTGAAACTTTCTTAAACCAAATCTTTGCTTCTTTTGTTGGCCAGTTTTGTAGAAAACTCACAATTAGAGCTGTAATAGTAATGTTTGTGTATCTTGTACAATATTGTGTTTATTAGTTTGTCTATTTTTCTTTGATTATTGTCAAATTGAATTTTTAACGGCTAGCATAGCTACATTTTGCCAACAATTATGACAAATCTAGATGCAGTTTTTATGTATGTATGATTTAGTTTCCGCTCTCTACATTTAAATATATAATGCACATTTATTTTTAACGTATATTTAAGCTTTTGTCCCAGCTGGATAGAATTATTAGCATTATTTTTCTATTTCCCACTGTCTTCTTTTTAATGTCTCCTTGTTGTCATAGTAGAGATACAACATCCTCTTAACTGTTTTCCTTTATAAATCAGCAGAGCAACTGGTGCAAAATAACAACGATTCTGATGTGTTTATTGTACATTAAAGCCTCAGCAAATCACTACAGTACAGTGAGTTTACCTGAGTAAACATTTTAACTCATTTTCTAAATAAAGTTTAAATAAAAATAGAAAATAGACATATAGGAATAAATCTGAAATGGGTTCCTTATATAAAGGATCTGTGATATGTGGTAATCGAGATAGACTGTGAGCTGATTTCATAATCTCCATCTAAGTAAACTCTGATCCTTTATAATCTGATACTGAAATCCAGAGTGCTCTCTGACCTGCTCATTAAGTCCTCACCCGTCACAACAGGAACATCAAACATTCTCCTGTAACATAGTTTTTATTTCTTCCACACAGATTTCAAATCAGTCACCTAAATACAACACTACGGATTACTTTTCATGCCCATTACATCTCCTCTCATCTCAGATTTACCTTTTGATTCCAGGACAAAGATGAAGAAACAACGATGTGTGTGTGTGTGTGTTTTGTTGTTGACTTCTACTCCGACTACATTTTAGTTTCATTAGTATTCTGCACCTCATTTTCCAGGCACATCGTGGTCTGTGGTCATATAACACTTGAGAGTGTGTCCAACTTTCTAAAAGACTTCCTACACAAGGACAGGGATGATGTCAATGTAGAAATTGTTTTTCTCCATAAGTAAGTTAATTTTTTTGTTTTTCACCACGTGTAGGTTAGCAGAACACAATGTATGAAACAATGCACAGTCAGCCTGTATATTAATGAGGTACCCAC